GTTTTTCATATTATTGTGGTTTATTACTGCATTTTTTTCCCCTCAATTACCTCACTGTAAAACAACATAATTGTTTTCAGCATTTAGGTCTTGAACCTATACCTTCCCAAATTCTCAACACATCAAATTGAACTGTCAGTGTACAGGCTATTTGACCTTCTGACCTATCAGGCTGGTTGGACTTCCCTGTCCTCTCTGACAGAGTTCAAGCCCTTTTCAGAGGTGAAATGACCTAAGAAGCTGGTTACTGTTTAAATTAACACAATAAAAGTCTTGTGTTAATACATATCTTTCATGCTTTAAAACTCATTCAAACATTTCAGAAAAAGAAAACTCTGGAACGCATAGTTATGGAGCCAATCCAGGGACGTAGCAAAAAAAAAAAAAGATCTATAATTATCCTTAAAGAGGCAGTATTATGTATTTATAGCACAATCAAGTGACTATGTTGCTTTCTGTTGCTATGAAAATACTGCATATATCAAACATGACTTAAAAGAAATTTGACATCGTAATATTGAAATTGGGCCTCTGTCTCTTTAAAAACTCCTGCTCTTTCCGAAACTCCACTTTCAGAAAGTCATCATAACATTGCTGCTTTTCATTCCTTTAAGAACGTTTTTTCCAGCGCTTCACTGAGAAGTAGTTTGTATAAGGAACTCAGCAGTTCCACCAGGTCTTTGCTAATTTCTGCTGGCTAGTCTGAAGGAGATGCGTGGGGGAGTCGGCGTTCACATATACATTCACACCACACCAGAGTTCACTTAAACCTAACCGAAGCAGGGGTAGGTCCAATCAGGACCTCGGTTTGGAGGTTGACCAAAGTTTGCCTTCAGAGTTCGATTGCGCATTCACACCTCTCAGAACAAGTCTGACTTTCTAGGGTTACTACTAGAGTTTGGTTGGTGTGTATCCACCCTCCTTAGTGACCAAAGGAGTCAAGCATCCCATAAGAATGCATAAAATGTGATGGATGTCTCTTCACATCCACCTGCATGGTGCCGTCACCTTCACTCCCCTCTTCACCTGGTTTATCAGCTACAGCCTCTGCTTGCTGTTCCTCCCACCCAGTCAGCAAGCACCCCGCCATGCAGGCAGTGAAATGATCATCCTCATCATCAAATACAGCAAGGACTCCCTTTCAGAGGCTGGTATGAAAACCTCTCAGGCCATGAGGGGAGGGCGCAGACAGAAGGGATCACTTAAAGATCTCAATCCAGGGCTCTGCTCTCTCTTCGTCCCTCCTTCTCCCTTTTAATTCCCCCCATAAAGAGGGAAGGGAGGGGCTGCTCCCTTAGCAACTCCCAGCCCCCTGTCTCTGCCTGCCTTTTGTCCCCCCTCCCAAATAGCAGTTTCTGCTCCAGGAGCCTTAGACAAGGCCTCTATTAATTGCAGGCCTGTGTGGAATACATGTGGGACAATGGGCCCAACAGAGTGTCCAGCCCCCAGACAAGGCTGGAAACAAGTGGAACAGGAATCCGGCAGAATAGACCCGTCCTGGCTGATGTCACTGCATACATTTACCTACC